CCCTCTCCCCTCTCCCTCTCCCACACACTTCCAGTATTTGCTTGTTGCAGTCTGCGTCCCTAGTAGTTCTTTCCCATGTGGGTCAGGCCTGACCCAATTAAGATACACACAACTGCTGGTTCTGCACATGGAGCAATCTGGCATATACAGCATATGTGGCACATACATATACGCTCCTTGAGGAGTCACAGTACCTCCTGAAAACAGATGATATTTAGAAGTTGGGTTCTCCTTTTAAGGCAAGATAATGCTTTGTTTCATTCAGCTTGTAATTTTTAAATAACAGACTTTAAAATGTGAACTGCAGTGTACTTACCTTAATGAAGTTGATCTAAATCAGGATGTGATTTTATTATTTTTGAAGACCTGTTAGAAAGAAGGCCATTGGCTTTCCAAAGGTAAACACTGCTACTTTGTGGGACAGATTTCTATTAAACCCATTTACTGATTCCAAAGCAGGATTTGGCAGTAAAGTATTCTGTCTTTTTGTCTTTTCTTTTTTCTCACAGATGGATAATTTATGAGCATAGTAATTACAGGGGGCGTCAGATGTTGTTATCACCGAAGGAAATTCCAGATTGGTATGAAGTGAGTGGCTATTGTCAGATAGGCTCTCTGAGACCTTTACTGCAGGTGAGTAGGCTCTGACATGAGATTGTCAAGTACTAATTTGTATTTTGTAATGGGGCTGTGGGGGGGAGTATTATACAGTTGAAAGCAATGTTACAGTCTTGATGCATGTCACAAGCTTCAGCCATGGCAATTGTGTAAAGAAATCACTCTACAGTTTCGCTTGTAATAAAAGCTATTTGATTATGCTACATGGCTTTGCAGTGTTACTGCTTAAATTGTTCATTAAGCAAACTTGAAACCAACCCAAAGTATAGAGTATGGCATATAAGGGTTGGCTAAGTTATTTTAACAAATAATGGCTGCTGTTGGAGCTGTTGGAGAGAGTCCTGGAGCTGTTGGAGCAAGTCCAGAGGAGGGCTACCAAGATGGTCAGAGGGTTGGAACATCTTTCTTACGAGGACAGGCTGAGAGAGTTGGGCTTGTTCAACCTGGAAAAAGAGAAGGCTCTGGAGACACCTTATAGCAGCCTTCCAGTACCTGAAGGGGGCCCACAAGAAGGCTGGGGAGGGACTTTTTACAAGGGCCTGCAGTGACAGGACAAGGGGTAATGGTTGGAACCTGGGAAAGGACAGGTTTAGACTAGATACAAGGAAGAAGTTCTTCACCCTGAGGGTGGTGAGACACTGAACAGGTTGCCTAAGGAAGCTGTGGATGCTCCATCCCTGGAAGTGTTCAAGGCCAGGTTGGATGGAGCCTTGAGAAACCTGGTCTAGTGGGAGGTGTCCCTGCCCATGGCAGGGGGGGGGGAACTAGGTGATCTTTAAGGTCCCTTCCAACCCAAACCATTCTATGATTTTATAACTACTATATATAAATTATTTTAAGTTGTTTTATAATTAGCGCTCAAACTGATCACTGATGTACTGTCTGTACTATCTGCATTATGTTTGGAACAACAAGAAAATTGGTCAACAAAATTGCATACTTCAATTAGTAGTGATTTTGATTTAGGTGATTTTGAATTAGTGTTGATTTAGGGGTGAAAGATCCTTCCCTGCTTATTACTTGACAGAATAATTTGCAAATTTAATGCAAAACTTACTCTCATGATCCTTTTTGTTTTGTTCTCTAAATAAGGGCCATGTGATTTGGTCCAATGCTACAGCAATCCTGTGAGCTTTAACATTTGAGGTTCTTGCTGAGCCATATTTTATGAGGAAACAACTTTTTCCAATTCACAGATTACTTGTAGCTGTGACCAAATGCACTTGCTTGCTGTCATGGTGTTGTCTTTGTATAGCCTTAAGTAGGGTTAGGAATAATGCATTTTGACAGCCCTGGATGAGACCTTGTCTAAACAGAAATGTTAACGTGTAACAAGCCACAGCATGAATGTACAGTGTATTACTTGCTGCCAGTGAAAGAAGCAGCACTGCACAGGTGCACCCTGAATGAAAGCTGAGAGCTCTATACTATACAAGAAGTTAGCAGAGAGAAGTTAGTGCTGCTGTGAATTAAAAATTCTTAGCTTTCCACTGTGTGCTGATCTCAGTGCACAGGAAAGCCTAAAATTCTCCATGCAGAATGGTGAGTTCTCAAGGCTTGGATTTTTCTATACGTTTATGGGCTTTGGAATTAAATTCTAAAATAGGAAAGGTAAGCTTTCTGGAAGAAAAAGGGAGGCGTGGGGTTCAGCACTGAGCAGTAATTGCTCTGAAGTTAACCAGAGCGGGATGCATTCTGCACTGAGACTGTGGTTAAAGAGTTCTGTTGTTTTCTGCAGAAACGTGTGTACTTCAGGCTTCGAAACAAGGAAACGGGAAAATTCATGTCAGCTGATGGAAACTTAGACAACTTGAATCTTCTCAGGATACAGGTTGCAGAAGATACAGACTCAGATGATCAAATCTGGGTTTATCAGGATGGATTCATAAGGTGCCGGGTGAGGGTCAAGTTCAACATGAATTTTCTCTTTTCCTCTCCAATAGTAGGGCTTTCTGAACTCAGTTCCTACTGTGTCATCTTAATTTATTTTATAGGCTTATTCAGTTTCAGCTGTAATATAATCTTTTTGTAGGGTTTTTTTTGTTTGGGTTGGTTTTTTTTTTTATTGGACTCTGGCTTTTTCAGGTGATTTAAACTAGCTGTGTGATGCCTTTTTTGATGTAATTGAAATTTTGAGGGATTTTAGTTACAATTTACTTTTCCCCTAAAGAATAGTAGCCTCATAAGTACTATCAACACCAGAACATCATTGTCTTGCTTTTTGTGAGCTCCTTCCACATTCATGCCCTCTTTCTCCACAGCGAAAATATCACAAAAATGTCAAAGCAGGGGAGACCTTTTAAAATGCAGACTCTTCCTGATGACATTTTGAACTATGCATACCTTGTGGTAGGTCAGTTAGTGTAATGTAGGTTAGATCTTCTTCTGCATTCAGGCAAGCTTAAAGATAAAACCCTACGTTCTTGGGTTTTTTGCATTTTGTGTTTGGTTGGGTTTTTTTCTGGTTATCCCTGTATTTGTCAAATTCATCCCTTTTCCATTCCTCTGTACAAGTTGCCAAATGAAGTCCTACTTTTCTCACAGTCCATAAAACTAATCATGTGCGAATTGCCATTGAGGTGAGCAGAGGTATGCACAGTTCATAATGTTTAAGCGTGAACAGTCTTAGGTAGGGATGCCAGCCAAAGAAAATTAAGTTACTTTAATACTGTTAAACAGCTTGACTGCAAAGAATCATGTGAACTTTTTCTATAGGATTGTATAACTTCAAAGGAGCCATTTATAACTATGTCATCTATGCTGGAGGGAAGAATCTTACTGTTAATAAGCTAAGGCATTGTTTGGACATGTTTACAGGACCCATGCAGTAGTAAAAGGGATTTATGCAGACAGCAAAATGATGCAAAGTAAGCTAAAAGCTTTAATGTCGCGTACAAAAGACTTCTCTCTTGACAGTGGCTCTCCAGCGTTTCACTGGAAGTATTCATATTGAGACAGCGTGGTATTGTATGGCTTTGGGTGAAAGCGCTTGGGTTTTGTCCCCATCTCTGTGTCTTAGAAAGCAGTTTTTCTGCGCACAGAAAATACACAGCTCGTGCTGTAGAGCAGTCAGGTAGCTCAGCGCAAAGTGCAAGCTGGCAACATTGATCTTAAGTGTCTGAACTCTTACAGAGCTCTGCCATCTTTCTGTTGAACAGCAGTAAATGAGTTTTGCACCAAAAAAAAAAGTTTTCCACCACATTTTTTAAAGAAAATTAAGCTTGTGGGTGGGTAGGTACGTGCACGTAGGCAGACATAGGTCATTGGGAGAACTTGTGCCTTTCTTCCTGTAAGCTTAGGTCATCTCACGGGCTGAGTCATGGTGCCTTGAGGTGTGCCTGAGGTTTTCAAGGAAAGGCTGGTTTAGGTAAGTGGGATAACCGGTAGGCAGCATGTGAAAGTCATTCTGCTCATTTTGTCAGAAACAGATAGGAATAGCAGGTACGAATTCAGGTCCCCTTGCTCTTTATGACTTTCTTGGAGATGGGTGAGCTGGTGGCCTGGTAGGCCTAATGTGTAAGGTTTGAGTCTTCCAAGTCCCACTGGAGAACCCTTTTAGATACAGATGAGAACTGCAGAACTAAATCAACTTACTTCAATTCTAGGTTATGATAGTAAGAAATGCTACTTTTTCAAAACTGTAATAATTTAGGGCCATATCAACAATGGCAGATGAGTGTTTATTTAACCTGCCACTGAAGTCCATTCAGAAGTCATAAGGCAGCTTATGGTGATCTACTGAAAATCACTGTTCACACTGAATAATTAATTGTAATGTGCTACTAATACGGCCTTAATATTCTCTTCAAGTAAGCTTGATTTTTGCCAGTTCTTTTTTTAACCATAAAGACATTTGTAGAGTTTTCAAATCAAGTGATACAAATGACTAGGAACTAAAGAATATAGAACAAAGAAGAAAAAACTATTATGATACACTGTGAAAGAGACAAAATAGCTAGGTCGGGACAATCCCCGGTATCAATACAGGCTGGATGACGGGATTGAGAGCAGCCCTGCAGAGAAGGGCTTGGGGATACTGGTGGATGAAAAGCTGGACATGAGCCGATAATATGCACTTGCAGCCTAGAAGACCCAGAGGGTGGATTTAGACTAGATACAAGGAAGGATTTCTTTTTACAGTGAGGCTGGTGAAACACTGGAACAGGGTGGTAGAAGCCCCATCCCTGGAAACATTCAAGGTGAGGTTGGACAGGGCTCTGAGCAACCTGATCCAGCTAAAGATGTCCCTGCCCACTGCAGGGAGGTTGGACTAGGTGACCTTTAAAGGTCCCTTCCAGCCCAAACTGTTCTATGATTCTATGACTTTTTAGCCTGCAAAGGGAGAGGTTTGAGAGATGCTATGATTGAAGTCTCTGCAAGCATAGCATGGACAAGACATCCCTTAAAATAAGGGAGGGGAAGGGGGGGTGAGGAGAGCATCAAATAAAACTAGTAGTTGCCTATCAAATTTTTTTTAATTATTATTTTTTTTTAATAGTAGTGTTACTTAAGACTTAGAACTGTGTGCCACAGAAGGGTTATGATACAGAACGGTGTTCATGTAAAAGAGTTACATTGATCTCAGTGGGCAGTGATTAACAAATCCACATATGGGACAGAAACTGTGCGAGTATTAGAGGTACCAGCTCTGCAGGGAAAAGTCTCGGGGCTGGAAATTGCTGTAGACCGGGAGAGATTACTAGGAACATAGCGCATGCAAGAGCAGAGTGAACGTAATCTTCCATGGCATCTGTTACTGGCCACTGCTAGAGACAGGTGCTGATGGTACCTTTGGGTCTAATACAGCGTGGTTATTTTAATGTTCTGATGTAGAGGAGAGTGTCAGCAGAAACAAGAACACAAATAAATAGGCTTGAGTTTGGGGCAAAAATGCATTCCTTTAGGGAAAATAGTTCATAGATACTGTTCTCCCCTGCTGACATTTCTCCTATCTGATTAAAAAACAGTGGATGCTAGAAGTAAGGCCGTTTTGAATAACACCTGTTGCCTCTCTGATGATACAGATGGCGGAGGATTGCTGCTTGGCAATTGTTGGAAATCTTATAACTCCTGGCTCTAAACTTGGTCTGTCATTTGAGCGGAATGAAGACAAACAATATTGGCATATTAGTCCTGATGGCAGGATTTACAGCAAGATGAAACCCAAGCTGGTTTTAGATATCAAAGGTAAGCAAATATGTTATCTCATTACATTGTGTCTTAATTACATGGTATAATACATGTATATATAAAGTGGGATGGGTACTAAACGTGCCTATAAATTAAGGATGGTGTTATAGTTACTTTAATCTAGAATCAAAAAAGACCCGATTAGCTAGTCTGACCTCAAGAATTATACAGGTCCTAGGACTTCATTCATGTTTCCTACGTAGAGTTTAGTAACTCACAGTACTTGCTTATCTTGTATTCCCAGTGTCCACTCACTGTAGATATCCTCAGTTAATTTTAGAGGCACTGGGTGATGTGAATATAATTATTTAAAATGGTGAAGCAATAAAAACCTAGCTTCTTATTAACTTTAATTTGTATAGAGCAAATTTTCTTATATAGTAGTTGTAGATGCAATAGCCAAAGGATATTAGGAAAGCAAAGGCAGGCTTGTACACTGATGTGATGAGATGCAAAAAGTTTTTTCATTTATTAATGGCTATACCTTTATTGTGAACATGAGATTCTGCCATAGCAGCCTGAGGTCTGTGCACGTTTGATGCGTGTTTTACAGTTGCTTTTGTCAGAGCAATTTGATTCATGTAAATACTGTTCCTGAACTTTGTTTTCATAGTTTCATAGGTCTGAAAAGGCAACAAATTGAATGATTAGCAGAATTAGCATAATCAGATGTTTTTACATAACTCTGCATTTTTGGGTGGGGGGAAGTAATTTCCTATAGCTGTTAACTTTTTTTAGCCGTTTTAAAATTCATTTTGCATTGATGCTGTGACATTAATTACAGCAATTACCAAAAAAAAAAAAAAAAAAAAAAGGAAAGAAAAATACCGGGGTCAACAGTCAGCACTCTGGAACTGCAAAGGACAGGACTATCAGAACTGTGAGAAAAAGGTTATCTAATGTCTGACCATAATACAACACTGGCACAAGTAGTCACAAATTCTCTTTACTGCCATAAAAAGCTAGTGATGATTAATTCTAAACTTACCAAAAAGACTCCAGTTCAAGGGTGAGTCTCTAGTCACAATGACTGCATACCTTTTGTAAAGTTAGTTCCAAGTTGCACCAAACAAGCAGACGTACTATTAGGCTGCCTCGTTAATCATGTTAAAAGGAATTATTTCCTGCATTTATAATTTAAGAACTTCACAATAGATAAGTCTGGTGATGAAAGAATGAGGGGAAAAAAAAGACGTCTGTATGGTAAGTATGAGAGAGTCAGTACCTTTAGCTTTTATTTGGGGCCTAGTAGGAACATTCCCTGTTTCTGCCAGTTCTGCTCGTCCATTCTTGACCACAAGTTGAGCATTAAGGAATTCTTCAGTAAATGCATGCAGTGGTTCAGCTGTGCAGTTACCCATGCCACCTTGTGGATGTAGTGGCATAGCACAAAGATTTTGTCCAGAGCACCGCTCTATCAAAGTAAATAGTCTCTTGTTCCACTGAGAAAAATCCCATCTTTTCCCATTTTAACATGTTTACATTCTCTCAGACACAGCTTACAAAATATTTTTTGTGCTCGCAGTGATAACCGAGCTATGGAGCTAATGTTAGTTTTTGTAGCTGCTGGCTAGGGTTGTTTTTTTTCCCGTGGGAGTATTTGGTCTGGTGTTCCCTTCTTTTCTCTCTTTCTGAAGAACTTTGCAAGTATTTCTGCTGTGTATCTCTACTGCTTTTTAGTAATTGCCTGGTGATGGCAAGGAGAGAAAATCACGTTGGTGTTCACCTTCTCAGAGACCTTTCTGATTTGGGACAGTGGCACCCTCCCCCAAACTGCTGAAGCTGAGAACAGCTAAGGTGCTTGAGATGGCATTTCCTTAGTATGAAAGAGCTGCTCTTAAATGTGGCTGCCCGTGCAGGACTCCAGGTGCCTAGAGTGTTTCTGTCTGAGATCTGCTAGAATACCTCTTTGTTAAGCTCATCACAAGCTTTCAGCTGCTGGGCTTGTCTTTTGCTCATTTGGGGAGGGTGAGGCTATAGGGGGTGGGGAAGGGGGAGGCTATAGGGGTGCAGAATGAATGACGGTGTCCATGGGAGCGTCCTGGTGCTCTGTGTAAACGGTTGGCTGAGGTGGCTGCTTCCAGTGGGACTGCTACTTGCTGTTGCAGATGTGTTGTACGACATGAGATGCACGTGTCTGCACTTCTGCAGTATGCACTACATCCGCGGAGGAAAAAAGTCAGTTCTAACTTTCAGCCCTAGTCAAACATTTCTTTGCTTCCGAGTTTCTTAAGTCAGAATACTAATGGCGCTCTTCTGTGGGAACCTGTTTGGCATTGCATCACGTGGGTAAATTAAGCCCCTCTAAGAAAGGGTTATATTTTGCATTCAGGTGTGTTCAGCTGCCAGTGGAAACAGCTGAAGACTGGGTAATACTCTGTGTATGGCGACTGGTGATACCAGTGGTCAAAATACAGGATTATAAAGGCGAAGAGTTAAATGAGTACCAGTCCTTGTCCTTGGTGTCATGCTGTATTGTCTGTTCGCAGCAGGACTCATTTCATCATGTAAACATCATCTTTAGAGCAAAGCGACAACTGTTGAGGGGAAACTGAACAGCCAAGTGTGACTTTCGGGAAGTGACAGTCTTAAAGGAGCTACGCCTGAGTGTATTGCAGTGGTTCCTTCCTTTCCCATCCAGGCTGAAAAAGCTGAGGTACTGGGTTAGCGAAGGGGTGGAGAGGAGCAGGCAGGCTCCCTCGTTTCAGTGTTAATTCCAACAGCAGGCAGTGATGAAAATGAGTTTGTCTTTTCAGTGCCTTGGGGAGAAGAGAAATGGTCTGCACCAGCCCTTACTAAGTTGCCCTGAAACCTGAAGTACATGTGTCTTATTTCAAAGATAATCTACACTCTTGGAAATTTTTCTTTACAGGGGGCACACAATATGATCGCGACCACGTTGTTGTCAACACAGTCAACGAAGAAAAGTTAACGCAGTGTTGGGAACCACTAGTTGTATAAACGCAAACAAGCAAAGATGACATTTGAATTGGGCGCTATTCCAGACTCTAGAATCGGCACAGCCATCTCGGAAGGATACAGGATCGACAATGAGAGCTTTGTCTTTTCTTTGCAAATTTAAAAAGAACAAGCAACAGAATGATTTCGCCTCTGTATCTAAGATTATTATCCCTATAAAAGCTTGAGTATCTCTCAACCTTCTTATTTTATTTTTTTTTTTAATCATCACAACTCAGTGTGAGGTAGAGAGTGGTAGTATGCCTCGGGCTAGAGTGGAAGAACTAGAGGTGGGAGAGACCCTATGGAGTTACAGTTGTGTCAGTGAGTAGTTAATCCAGAATAGTCAGTAAGTGTAATTTTAAATTATTTTTAAAAATTGTTGTTTTTAACTGAGAGAAGGGCTAAAAAATACTTAAAGCTTATTTTATAAAGGAGAGGAGTGCAGTGTGTATGTGGGTACAGCAATTTGGACCTATGGGCTGTAGTATAAAGAAATACTCACTACTGGAAATTAATGTATTTTTTTCACTGGAACAAACTTAAGCTTACTGGAAGTTTAAAGGCTGCTAGCACACAGCACATCCAAAGAATTTTTAACATGTGGCTTCAAATATAGTTAGTATGCTAATATAGTAAGTCCTAAATTAAGAAAAAATTCAAGATTTTTCTCATGTAGAGATGATGTAAATTAGTAGATGTTTGTTAGAAAAAGAGAGGGCTGGCAAAAGGATGCATCAGAATGTGAAGAACTTGACCGTTTTCTAGGCTGCCTAACTTTTTGAGTTAAGGGTATTTTACTTCTTTGCCAAGTCAAATTTTTACCTTATAGAACAGTTCCAGTAAGTACAGTCTTCCTCAACTCCAAAATCATACCGAAAATAAGAATTATTAGGGAGTCACTACAGCTGACTGCAGCAGCACCGAAGCGCTGTGGTTACGAAGTTTTTCAGCCACTGCCTGTTGGGCTTAGCGTGGACAATGCCAGACGCCCACCAGAGGTATTTGTGGTGACGCTGGAGAGCAGCGTCTGAGGTGGGCTGCTGGCTCCCGGTGGCTGCTGGGCAGAAACGTCCGGCTGCTCTAGTAAGGGGCACAGCCAAGACTGGATACCTGCCCAGTCACAAGGGCTGTGCCTGTTCAAAGTAAGTGTTACTGGTTTAGTAAAGAGCTTGTGACAAGTAAGACACACGAATGACTTCAAGAAGTTCTTCTGTTGCCCTGCTCTTAACCTGGTTTTGTTAGTTTTCCTTAATAATGTTGGCAAAAAGGTAAAATACAAACAAAGTCTTGTACGATGCTGCTGTGTTTTGTTCTGGCTTAGACCAGTGTTATTACAAGCTGCTCCTAGGAGCATCCAGGCCTTTGTCTTGCATAGTAAGTCTGTTTAAAATTAACATTTTCATTACTATTGTATTGCCTCAAAGGATACTGGTGCTTTTACTGTTCCACCCTCAAGGAAGTGCCTTACTAATTTTCCTCCTTTTGTACAGACATACTGAAGTTTTGTTGCTCTGAAATGTGCTGCTTTTAGTTCTTCATAGAAAATGTGGTTGTTATTGGTTCCAAACAGTGGTACTTTGTCATACTGATGTGCTCTTGCTATATATAATATAGCATTTTACAAATAAATTTAAGTTAGGTAACTTTTTATTGAAATTATTTTTAAAGGTAGAAAGCTGATGTTTTACGGTTGGTTTTGCTTCTGTCTTGTGCCCTTCTCTGTCCATAATTCCCCTGTGACAGCTAGCTAGTGAGGAGCGAATACGTGGTGTTGGAGTAGCTGCAGGCTCTGCGGAACAGATGCTTCTCCTGTACAAGCACGTGTTTGGCACATTTGTACATGGGGCCACAGTTCACGTGGCTGCTGTTTCTGTCCCCTGGTGGAAGCACTGCATGAGATGGCTTTTGCCATCACCGTTGTTGCACCACAGTAAATGTGCAGTTCTCAATTAAGAGGTTACCACTTTCCTTCGATCTACCTCCGTAATTGCAGGGGAAGTCACTCCGTAGCCCATCTCTGGCAAAACGGTAAGTTTAAAACAGGACCGGCAGACACGTACCCCCTCAGGCACTTCACCCCCACCAGCAGTGACAGGCGGCATGGAGGGAACAGGGTCTCCTGATTACTGACAAAATCATGTCTAGCCTGCCTGCTTAAACACTGTAGTCGGCTGAATCTGCGCCAGGAGTTAGGCAATTAGAGTAATTATCAGTTACAGATTGATTTTGTTCTGTGCTTCTACTCAGATTAGTTATGCCATGAGAGATTGCCATATCGGGATTAAAGTACAGGTCTTGAGACGGCGATGTGACCACTTAATACAGGAAAAGTTTACAGGTTCTGAGAATGAACTAATTAGTAATAATATATATTAATAGAGGTGAACAGATCTAGAAAAGGACAGGGAAAAAAAGGACAGCACAAGTTTCACATGGTCAGTTAGGTAAAGGCATGCCGCACCAGTCCAGGGCTTAGCTAAAACATCTGGAAAATAAAAGCTCCAAGATCTACAAACTGAAAATGCTGCCGGCTGCTCCTCTTATCCCAAGCGTGAGGGGTGTTCTGCAAAAGTCACAACTACATTGTCAACATGGCTTTCATGTAGAAATACCCAAGGGACGTTCATATCTCTTGTCTGCACATTAACGGTTATTAACAGGCAGAGTATGAGGGAATCAGAGACTTTGCTAAGACTTTTCTGTAAAATTCTGCATCCTGTGTGAGCTTTTAAAGAAAGAGTTGCTACGTACTAATTCACGTTCAAGTGTCATTTACCAGTAAAGGACTGACTGCAGGCAGAAGAATGATTGGAGATACTTTATTTATTACCGATTACATCGATCACTGTTTTTCCACGTGCATGTCCTCCTTCCAATTTCAGAAAGGCCTTTGGAACTTCAGAGAAAGAGAAGACTTGATCAATAACTGGTTGAATCTAAAAAATAAAGAAAAAGCATCACTATATTGGGAATAAAACAACGTATCACCTTCGTACTTCAAAACTGCATGAGGAAAGGGGGAGGTTTCTTTGTACTATTTAGGGCAGAGGTTGCCAAATGATGTAGTCACTAGCTTTTAACTTTTTTGGGGGACCCCTCTGCATGCAGTAAGTGGCTTTCTGTTGCTCTTTGCCCAAGTTTTGGAACATCTCTACTAGCAGAGTTTGGAGCCCTCACCCGGGACTCTGAACAATAAAGTCACTATGCAAGGCTGTAACTGCTCAGTGCCTTTAAAAGCTGACACTGGTTCCACTTTTTGTTGTCCGCAATGATACACTGAGGAAAAGGACAAACTTTTTTTTTTTTTTTCATCTCTCTCTACTGGTTTTCTTGTTAAGCCCAAGACTTTTCAAAAGGTCAGATGTTTTAAAGATACCTATGAATCTCGTGCCTATCTGCATCGTTACATGCCTCAGTACCCTTAAAAGACTTGGACAGAAATTAAGTATAAAAAAAAAGTCCATACACATTTGTTGCTGAATCATTTAGATACTCTTGAGAGCTCATCCACTGTGTATTCCAATAGGCGTACATCATTAAGCCCAGCTTGCATCAACTGCTATTTTGGCATTAATTTTGTGGAGTAGCCTTCTGGACTGTTTCACACTCATAATGAAGGTGAAACCACCCTATTCGCTGTCCCCATTATTAACTACAGAGCCTGAAAACCCTACGAGCATTTTCTTTAGACATCGTAGTGTACCGCCTGAGGCAGAAGAAATCCCCGATGCTTCTGAAAAACAGTTGTCACTGCTGCTCCAAGGGAAGAGACTTTTTCTATCAACAAGTTCCGAGTCAGCCATCCAAAGGCCAAAATGAGATCTGTGTCCCAAAGCACCTCCCACACCGCCTCCCAAAGCTGCTGCCTACCCTGAGGTTGGTCTCTTGCCTCGGATCCCCTAACACCAGCCCAATGCATGTTCTTGCATTGACCAACTGATCCTAATCCTCTTGCCAGAGGAAAACATTAACAGCAGCTGAGTCTGCAGGTAGCTCTTGCAGTGATGAAGATCTGAAGTAACAAAGATCCAAACACTCTGTCTATCTACTGTGCTAGAAAAAGATCCTTGTTACTTGTGTCAGTTAAAAAAAAAAAAATCCTTCAGGCTTTTTCCTCGCAGCTACCGGCATGCACGCTATCTTGTTGAATACTCCAGAGCTGGTAACTGCCCTCTCCCGGTCCGACATGCATCTCGCGATATACCAAAGGAAGACAACAGCAATAAGGACACAAACAATTTGCCAGCATCAGAACAGTGCTGTCTTTAAAAGGCTTGCTTGCTTTTACCAGAAGGCGAGGGGTGCGTATGCAGACGTGCTGCTTGGCAGGTGAACGTGCAGCGCTACCAAGGAGAGGTTTTTGTACACAGATATTTTCCCAGCAGCAGCACTGACCACCCAGCACCCTCCCCAGCGGCACAACAAAGGCAATCTGGTAGTTGTCTGGGCTCGTGTAGGTCTTTTTCTCAACTCTCTTAATTTTCTCTTTATTCATACAGTGCCTTACCTTGAAGTCCATTCATTGCAGTAAAATGACTGGTTTTGCTTATATGATAACAGTAATCCAAGACATCAATAATCTATCACTCTGCAGTATCACCTAACCTGGGCACTAGATTTTCCTTTTTATTTTGTCAAGGCAAGCTTAGAAGTAGTGTGAAACCACATGGCAGAGAAGTAGGAATGAGCGAACCCCCTCCAAAGAAAAAGTCAGAATTAGCAGCCAAATCACTATGAGAGCAAGTGTGCAAATAAATATAGCCACTAAGTGCCTCGGAGTTGCCATGCTGCAGGGCACAAGGCTGGGTAACTTCTTCCCCTTGGTCTGCCAGGACAATCTCTGTCAACACACCTCTGGCAAAGTGAGCAGTAACACACAGCAGAGGAGCCACGAAGGTACCGGATAACACTTTCTGATGCTCAACTGGGGAAGAAACATGGGGCGTGAATGGTCACGTTCCAGACAAAATCGTGTTGGCTCAGCACCCAGCACAGAATGG